CGTGTAGAGCCAGGTGGTTTTACATAGATACATATATGCACATTACGGACGCGACAATTCCTATCCCTCTGTCACTTCGTTACTACCCTCTCGCGGATAGTATCGCCCATGGCCAGTCAAGCATGGAAAATCTTTTACGACCAAATGGCCGTATCTCAGCCTGAACTTTTTCACCCCAAAAGCACAAATAGTGGATTTACGGCTATAATACGTGTTTTTACAGTCACAAAATCACACATACACACCCACCAACGGATGCGCACACGCGGGTGTGGTCGCACGCACGCGTGCGCGTGTATTATATGCGTAAATTCACATTTTGTGCCTCGGGGAGTGAAAAAGTTTCGGCTGAAATACGGTCATTTTGTGTTTTTCAACGCTTGACTGGTCACGGGCGAACTATCCACGAGAGGGGAGTAAGGAAGTGAGGAAGAGGAGGCTTTCTAACTTGTGTAAACACGTGTATTACAGACATGTATGCAAAGAATATTACGAATGCGTGTATGGCATAGTGGTTAAGTAGGCTACTCCGCTGCAAGCTATGAACGTTGAAGGTTTGAATCTCGGTATTTCTTTGCTGAAATATTGTATAAATTGCCATTTCTCCATAATATAAGGAACATGTCGTTTTTCTATATTGTGGGCGCCCGTTAGCCCTGTGGGTAGCGTCGTCCCGTGTTCGATCCCCGCACCAGTGGCTTGGCCGGCTACCAGCGATTCACGGAAAAGTAGTGTCCTAGCACATTACCTTTTACTGAAAACTACGACGATTTGAAAAGCAATATTGTGACGCAGCTTTCAAATACTTAACATCATATATAAAAAAAACGATCTAAATTTTAGTTATTACGCAGATTTATTATAATCCAAATCACGAACGCGCATGTTACTGCGCATGCTCGTGTACTTATACTAATCACAAGATTACAAACTCAACATTATGAATAGACGTTCAAGTAAAACACGAGATTGCACGATTCCACGTACACTTGACATAGATACATGTAGTACTGTAGTGTAAACAACGACAAATACTTCCACAGAGAATACTGTTCTGAAAAATTGTTTGGTTCCTATAATATTATACCAGTATAACGACGCAGTGTACCGCTACCAGAATATGTGAAAATCGGATGGAATATCGGCATAAAATACTGTAGGGTAGCGAAAGATGATATCCTGTATCCCTGCACCGAGAACCGTACGCGTTATTCCACAGACGCACTAAGCAAAATCGCATCTATCTATCTATCTACCCACATATCCATCTATGTATGTATGTATGTATGTATGTATGTATCTATATATATATATCCATCCATCCATCTATTTATCTATCTATCCATATAACCATCTATCCATCTATCTATCTATCCATCTATCTATCTATCCATCTATCTATCTATCGATCAATCGATCGATCTATCCATCTACCTACTTTACAACGTACCGCTTTTCTCTCGGGGCACCACCATCCAGTGGCATTAGAAAATGCTCTTTTGAAATATGACATCGTAACGCCTTTTCGTGTGGGAAATAATGATAAAGCTTGCATATATAGAAAAACCAAAACGATGTTTGTTCAACGAATTTACACAGGGTTTTGTTACGTTGTGACGGGCTTTTTTCTCGAGGGATCTCTCGCGTCTAAAAAACACTTAGATATAACCTTTCTCGCCATCCACGTCTCTGTGTGTTTGTCGTCGGCAGTAACTTACGGCATATAATTACATGTTAATGCAGTATCAATTAATATAACGCACGGACAACGGAGTTGCTCGTTATTCAATGAGTAATAAAAGGCATGCATAAATAACGTGAAGCGGATGCAACGAACGATTCTTTAGAAAAGTGTCCTCAATAATCATCTGAGTTGCGCTGAGAAGCTGGCCTCCAAGTATTAAAGAGATTATTTAAAGACACTGACCTTCGATGGAGAATACAAGGTCGTCGCTTTCACTGGCCATCTGCTGTATAATTTTTACTAGCACTGCTTCCATTTCTCGTCCTCGCACACTGCCCCGTCAGATATAATGCGTGTTGTTACCATAGAAATATATAGAGATGCTAGAGCAGGGGTTCTGTGGTTCCCGCGGTTTTTGTGGTTCCTGTGGTTGATAGACCCCTTTGCGGTTCGTGGATGGGCTTCAGGGGGTCCGTGAACCAGGCGCATGCAAAATTGTGTGTTTATGTGCTTATGTACATTTTTCTGGGAAGAGGTCCGTAGCTTTCAGCAGATTCTCAAAGGGGTCCATGACTAATATATAATCTAACTAGTATGTTATTTCTATGGTTCTTACTCTCAACTGATCTTCTTCTCTACATTTAAATACCGTTGTAGGGGAGACCCCACAAAACAAGTTGCAGGAGACGAATACATAATGATGTAGAACACAGATTTATTTAAAAATTCTCAAGAAAGGCCAAAAACGATTTCACGTCGAAAACCGAACGGAAGAACGTATTTTCGTCAACATGTATCAAGCGCGATCTTCGGAAACCTTCGAAAAATGACAATGAACACAATTGTAGAATTGTAGAACGTGACACGGCAGTTACTCTAACTCACACCAAATGCAAGCAAAAGCCAAATAGGAATGTAGATGTTATACGTACATGTTATAACACGATATCTCACTATTCTCCACGTCGCGCATTTCATCGCGGCCACGACTAGGATTCAATTCTTCGCTGCTTACATACGACATGTACAGGTGCTTGATTTCACGAACAGCAACGAATCCGCATATGCACGAGACATTATGTATAGATTATAGTTCTAGTGCTGTATGTTATACCATACATTCGGCATGACGATGACATTGATAGCACAAAGTGAACGGATATGTAGCCACGATGACCTACAAGCTGCCAGCTTTTGAGCTGTAGGACAAACTTACCACACTGCATAGGTTGGTTCTGGCACTGATAACACCCATAAAATCTGTCCACACCTGTGTCCGGTCCGGGGATAAATAAGTTACACAATTGCTTTACACCACGACAATGAATTTTTTCACCAAACAATTTCAAACAGAAACGATGAAACGAGTGATCTGCTGCCTGCTTTTTAACAACTCGTTTGTGTGTTGAAACCTCGCATCCCTGGCATTCTTCCAGCTTCCTCGTGCCTACACGTGCAAGTGTACATGTGTAACCGGCAGTACAAGAACCTTAGGATGTATCTCAAGCTCGCGTGAACGTCACGGCTATTAATACAGATCGTGTTGTATCTATCGCCTTTGCCACGAATTTTATCGACTCGCCACCCCCCTCAACCTCCGTTGGTTAAACGATTGCGGTGTAAGCCTCCTCCTCTCCTTCCAGCTGAGATGCCTGACATTATTATTATGCTACTGCTTCCTCTTCTGGTTGGGAGACGTCCATCTGTTTCTCCTTATCCTCCGGTACATCACCGATGCCACCTAGGTTCTCTGCATCCTACAAAAGGAAAAAGCTGTAAAAAAATGGGGGAAACACGGCGACGATTTCACGGCTATACCGACAACGAATCCGTCCTCAATGCACGAGAACGTGGCACGACGCACGCGCTCAGACACCGACAGGTACGAGGCTTTCGAGCGAGAATCCGCGCCGACACGTCGCCTCGCACTAGACAATGGACTACGCACATAAAAGTGAATAATAGTGCACGTAATAGCATAGACAATGGATTAGAGAACGATCGCGGCAAGCAACAGCGAGGAAGCGCTGACGAGTCGACGGGTCGATTCTCACGTCACTTACGGTTGCTGGTCCGTGCGACAGGGTCACTGGCGTTGCCGTGTGTCCGTTTTCGCCACTCGTCTGCAACAAGGAGGACGGCAAGAGATGCGATGAGTGCGCAGGCAACCCCGGCAGCGGCACGCGCGTAACCGAAGACCGCTCTGCAGCTGATGCAGGTTACCACAACGACGAAGGCGACGTCAAGATCAACTACGGCAGTCGCTCTGCTCGGGCTGGGGCTGCGGTCGGGAGCATGACACTTACCGGTGGTAGGACAGTGACACTTACCGGTGGTAGGACAGTGACACTTACCGGTGGTAGGACAGTGACACTTACCGGTGGTAGGACAGTGACACTTACCGGGGTAGACAGTGACACTTAACCAGGTGGTAGACAGTGACACTTACCGTGGTAAGCACCGTCACGACGTCGTCGATCGTCGGCTCCATCCGTGTCTTCGTCGCCGTCTCCGTCCCGTGCTTCTACAATCCCCGAAAGCGAGAAGCAAAACACGATTATAACCACACGGCTTTCGCTCGAGAAAACTATCACTCGGCAACTGACAATTCATTTTGTGGCTTTCGCTCCAAACAACAGGTGGTTCACCGTATACCGCCCACTCTAGCAAAACCCAAAGAGTCATCTTTAAAGACAGGTGTACATTCTATAACGGTATACACTAACACAGGTCTGCGTGTAACAGCAAGGTCGGGCGCACCGGCCCGGGATGCACGAATGTCACCGGCCCGGATGCACGATGTCACCGGCCCGGGAATGCACCGATTCACCGTCTCCGGCCTGCCCCGCCCCCCCGCTGCCACAGCCCCGCCACACCCTCCCCTCCCCCCTGCACCGCGCTGCCGCCCATGATAACCGGAGGAACCCACACTCGATCCTCCTTCGCAGAACTCTCGAACCATGTTCCCGTACGATGCTGCGCTCAGCATCGCGTGGAAACCCTTGATCTTTGGCGGGCTGCACACTGCTGGCAGGCGCACGACGGCGACGCCGCGCGTCGCGGTTCTTGGAGTTTACGTCGAGCGTTCGTAGGAAGTCATCGCGAGCCACTCGTAGTCCGCCATGTTTCTGCTTCGCCTGCAAAGTGAAAGGTCAGGCAAGGTTAGTTACGTCGGACAGTGCGCGGCGAACTACCGGTGCTGCTACTGCCACTGTCACAACCACTGTCACCAACATACCCGCATTGACCATACTCGCCACTGGGCACTGGGCACTGGCTACTGTCTCCTGGCACCACTGCCACTGCCGCCCCGGTAGTCGTTACTAGCTACAACCGCTGGCACTGCTACTGCCCTAGCAACCAGCCATCACTGCCACCTGCACCCTACCACTGCCACCACCACACTAAATTAAAAAGAATCATAGTTCAAAGCATTGCCACATCATACTCACTATCAACATGATCGACATTGTCATTGTCCCTGTCCACACGCCATCAGGCAATTAAGTCGAGTTACCACCCACAATAAGCCTGGCGACTTTCACATGCACATGCACCATACGCAGCGCTTTCGTATCTCGATTATTAACGTTTAAAATGCAGCAATAGCACGGATCACGCAAATGTTTATGACTTTACATTCAACGTTGTAACGTTGGGCAGGCGGCCGGCAGGCGGTGGGGTGGGGTGGGTGGGAGGGGTTGGGAGGGGTGGGAGGGGGAGGGGAGTTACGGTGCGATACCGCTTATCACAGTCCACGAGTACCATTCCTCGTCT